ATACGTAGTCTTGTATGTGTTACCTTCCCTTGCTCAGGAGGTACACTCATTCTACTCAGATCACTTGTCTCTAGGGCTGGACAGAGCTTCTTGTTGCATTCAGTAAACTGTTCTTGAAGCCCGACTATTCACGAGAAGAGATTATTTAGATCTGCCAAATAATTTACAAATCGAATCGTTGGATGTTTAAATTAGTTTTACTGCCAAGCAAATGTCTTTTCCGTGATGCAAGTTGAAAGATATACCTTTCCTCATCTTCTAACGAGTTTTAGAACGTTTGATCCTGAGACAACATCACCAACATCAGCACACCATCAGCACACCATAATCACCACCATCATCATCACTACCACCATCATAGATGTACCATGATGCAATCCCAGCTTTTGTTTATTTACTTTACCACCTTTTATTTAAACAAATCACAACAATTAACTTTAAGAACTGAACATAAATGAAGACATTCTAGTACTGTAAGGTTGAAGGTATGGTGAATAAGACAGAAATTCAATATTAAGACCAACTGAACAAATTAAATTACCACTCAAGTAAACCCAAAATATTTCAAATAGAGCGAAGAAATTCAAACGAAAAGCATTCCAATTTACTTTTTTGAGACCTGAGATGCTTGGTTTGCCAACGGTACAAAAAAGTAACGACGTTTGTGTTCACACGAAGCCCTCTGAGCGCTCCGTTTTCATCTCGCTCCGTTCAGAAACCGTGCTCAAATTGTTAGGGCAAAAGTGACGTTTTCAGACAATCTCGCGTCGGCGTAGTGTGGACGCGACGGCTATTAAATTGTGACTTTTCTGCGTCGTGTGAACGTAGTCTTTGAATTATATTTATTCCACTTTGTAGGTTCTCCGAATTTGTGTACGAGGTTGTTGTCGACAAAAAGTTCGTCCCGGAAGAGATTCTGGATGTTTTAAAGCAAGAACCAATCATATTACCGCCTTGGGATCCCATGGGAGCGCTTGCATGCCGGGACTGCGGACGGCACGAATGAATACCTACTTTGTACCCAGGACTTTCGGCTGTGGTAGCGTGTAGTTAATATTTTTTATAATGAACAATTGAACAGTGAAGTAGCCATTATAGTATAATACATTGTAATTTTCCAATTTTTTTGAAAGCTTGTTACTCGTAGTATACGTGTCCAAATGTGATCAAACTTTGCACACCTATTAATTTTGAGCTGATCATTCCATTGGTGAAGCACATTTCTTGATTTTGTTACTTTTTAACCCTGGATCCTAGTCTCCTCGTCACTAACAGCCCCTTTGGGGAGCTATCAATAAATATTGAACGTAACTACGTAAGTAAGTTTGTGACTTCGGAATGGCGAATAGGTGCATGGGTTTCAGTAGTATTCGAGGTCAACTTTACAATATTTATAACGATTTTAGAAATAAAGTGCGGTTTTTCAATGCAGTTGAAAAACTTTGTTAATGAATTCTGAGTATTTAAGCTTATTAAATAATCGATAATATTTTGTTAACGTGCTCAAGTTCACAGCAACCAGATGTAAACAGCAAACTTTTTGAGCACAAGTTCCACACAATTTCTATGGGTACGTTACTAATTTACGCTTCAATTTTTATATGCAAATGTTCTAACTTCCAGTGCCTTTTTAACTATATAACTGGTGGCCCCAAAGCGCCCCCCCGTTGGCCCCCCCAGTCAACCATTTTGCCCCCCCCCCCCAGTCAAGGTCCCTTTTCTTTATAGCAAAACATTGGAATAAAAATGAATTTAGAGGGGAAGTTTGATATTTGAGAGATTGATTGTTCGATAAACAATCTGTAAATTTATGCTGCACGCAATTTAATTTTCTTGCGTATGCGAAAATTATATCGGGATTTGGCATGATACCGATAAAAGCTCAAAATGGCTTATAGAGCTTAAGTTTTTTATGTAAAACCAATTACCATTGGCCAGAACACAATGTCGTTTGACAAATAACTTGTCAAGATCGACCTTAACTGCTGCTAAATCGCTTTTTGTGTGCTTATGTTTCATTGTTTAACGATTCATGCAAGTATACTAGTTACGGCTAGTTACTAAAGAGACGACACGATATACGCACAGAAATGGTCCAATGTATCAATACTGGTTACGTCTGCAGTTTAACGGTAAGATTATCGTTTTAAAAGTTTTAAAATAGGTGCTTTTTGCCAAGTGTGAAAGTGCAGCGCATGTGGGCAATTCTAAAAGGGAAGAGTGTTGTCGGAAAGACTAAATTATACACTCACTATATGTATGTTGACATTCACTTGTGTGTTTGCAAATACATCGAATGATGAAGCATTTCATCGCCACATAACTGTCAATACATTTGAAGCGGATCGACCACTGTGTACAGCACCATACAATGATAACTAGGGGCTGTTCATATTGTAATATGGAGCCGGGCTGGCCCAGTACGTTAACCACGATCGGATTCGTTTAATAAAGCTCTTATATATCAGCGGCTTTGATAAACACTGATCCAAAATGACAATTGACATTTCAAACTTCAAAGAGAGCCCCCAAGAGGGAACGGCTGGAACCGAGCCTAAGTTGAACTAGCTTAGTTTGATTTCAGTAACACTATAAAGTTCATTCAAACTGATCTTTTATGGTCAGGAAAAAGTTTCGTGACACGATTCATCCTGGCCAGCTCCGGGCTGGCCGGCTCATATCGAAGAGCCCTTAACTCCTACTATAGCAAGTTCTAATACAATTGCCAAAATATTCGCGAAAATTCCGATATTCAAATTTCCATAACTTTTGATTCCCTTGACCGATTTTGATGAAATAAACACCAAAATGTTTGACATGACGACTTGATCTATGAAACTAAGCTATTTTCGAGGGAGGGGGGGGGAGGGAGGAGGGGGGGGGGGGGGGGGCTGTTAAAGTTAATCTGAAATTTTGGCTGCTGCCCCAGGCTTATTATTCACGATGTGTATTGATATTGTATTGAATGAGGTTGAAGGTTATGTTGTTATCTGCAGAGGATGAAGACCGAGGTTATGTTATACACAAAAAATACTAGTATTAAATTCGCACTATTTGCCATGCAAAATCTTACAAAACGCTTTACTTAAACCCAACTGGTATTATGTTGATGTACATTAAGCCAGGCTTTATATAATTTAAGCTTGCAGGTGTTTTAAGCCTTGTACTTGAACTTATACGGAAACTGGCAGGCTTAAGACGAAAGGTTATAAGAAGTTTGATAGCAGCTGTCTCAGAGAAAAATAACACGCAATGCGATTATAACACTATCATAATTCCATCACTTCGGATTGGGGGATATTTCTTAAACATAAACACTGATCAACTACTGTATAAGAGAAATCAAATTGGTAAGTTTACCAGAGACTAACTGTAGATCACATCGTTGAAGTATAGCAACTTTTTCGGATTGAACAGTTTGTGATATTTAGGATATCGTTTCATAATCCTTCAAAAGAATTTGACTATGACGTTATATTAAATCTTATCACAGTACTGATTTGGCTCGAAGAGGTATGAATGAAAGAGATTAAGACAGTTAATTTAAATTTGGGGCAAGAATCAAACAAAACGTTGATAGTTTAGCCATATCCTGCAATCAACAAACTTCCGTCAGGCATCAGTGTCAATTGGGCGAAAATTCATCCCTACTTTCATAGACGAAACGGTTAGTGAGCCGCATTGCACGCAGTAGTTACATTGTATATGCTCAGATTTCGCGCACAATAGATATATTTCGGGACAGGGTTATGTCTGGGGTCAAGATCAAAGACGGATAGAGTCCGATAGATATATTCGTGCACGACACCAATACGACACATGCGAACGTTACCAATAGTATATTTTTCAGTAAGTCAATTCAAATTTGAGGTCTGCTTTCTCCCAGTTCAATGCGGTTTCGAACGACCCAAACAAGTTTCGGTAATTTGCCATTACATAAACAGGAAGTGTGTGTGTGTGGGGGGGGAGAACGCGCGCAACATGTTGTAAAGGGGAATTTATTGTAAGAGTTATGCGAAGTTTCAATGTATATTTGTTGCACCATTACAAGATTCAATGCATACACGCTTACATGTAATAAGTCGCTTATTTGTATGTCCACCATTTATATCAGCTACAGGTCGTTTCTGAGAACTCTAGTCGCTTTCGTATGAATGATTTGTTTTGTCATCATAGTATAAGATAACCGACTACTCTCAGTCGTGTTTTCGCCTCCAGTTTTAATAAATGAATGTGAGCAAAAGCATCTGGGTCAGACCGTGAGAGAGAGTATACCTGGGTGAGTCTAAGCGCGCCCGTTTGGCACACGCTTAAAAGAACATCAAAAGGCTGTTTCAATTAAATAACGGGAAATCAGCTTTAGCAGAACATGTGTGTGACAGCATGAGTACAAACATGGCAAGTTCTTTATATTGCACGGTTTGCACCGTGTTGGCTCACAAATGTGATGAGTTATAAAACGACCATATCTTATTAATTATTAAAATGTGACTAACCCCAAATATAATTTTTGGAATGGGTAATATTTGGGTCATTCTAAGAAGAAAAATATAATATATTTTTATAGTAAAAACCTCATCTTGGTCAACTTTTTCACTGTCAAGTTTCCGGATATGAGGTCATTAGGTTAATTTTTGGTACGAAAAACAAAACAAAACTAATTTGCAATTCACCTAATGACATAATATCCGGAAACTTTGACAGTGAAAAAGTTGATCAAGATGGGATTTTTTATTATAAAGATATATTACATTTCTTCTTCGATGGACCCAAACATTACACATACAAAAAATCATATTTGGGGTTAGTCGCACTTTAACATAACAAACGAAATCCAACACCAACCCCGTTAACTGGAACAACTTTTCGCTTTCCTTCGGAGTTCGAATTAGCAGGATTCTAGTGGGTTCTACACTTTGTATTTGAATTTTGATTTACATCACTTATAGGCATGAAACCCAACCTCAGAAGTTAATCAAGAACTCGCAAGTCACAACCACATGGACGAAGATCAAACTAGCAGTGAGCTAAGCCATGGAAGCGAGGCAAGACCCAATACACCATTTGCTGACCCTTTCGCCGAACTACACAAGAATAATACGAAGTATGCGACTACAACGGAGGATCCTGCTGTACAATTATGGATACCAGAGGACAATACGAGTGTACGAAACCATCCTCATCCATTAAAACCCCAAATATCCTACAAACACAAATTAAATAAGCAAAAGACACTGCCAAATTTGCCACCGTTAACCGAAGAACCGGGTTTAAGTTCGAATGAAAGAACGAGTGAAAATGAAATTGAAAAGCAAGAAAGTGGAAGCGGTGGTAAAAAAATAGACAACAAATTCAAGTGTTTTAAAAAGCTTAAAAAATCTTTACAGAAACCTAAAGAAAGCGCCGAAAATGTGCTTACAATTGCAAATTGCAGTAAAAGTGTCGTAGCTTTGCCAAAAATAGACACTTATTGTATATCTTATATTCGCCCATCGACAAACCACGGTTTTTCCTACGCTGTGAGCTCAAACGAGTTACTAAAAGGCAAAAACACAACCTCAGGAAAGATTAAACGGAAAAAAACAACCTCAAAACTCAACAGCACGTCTGAAAATGGCTTTCCACACCCGGGGAATATGTACCTGCTTTTTAGGGCACCGTCGCGGGCATGCGGGCTAAATATTCCAGGCTTGCGGGCAAGACCAAAGGAACTGCAGCATCTAAAAGGCGCGAAACAGCTCGAGAAAGCGAAGACGACGGTGCAGACAAATATTGTTAGATTGCCTGACATTAATGAAGATATGTGGAAGTAAATTGGAAGGACTTATGAAAATTTATTAATAAATTGTACATACTATAGGTATTTTGTAGGTGCATGCTATTCGTGGAAATAATGTAGAATTAAAATTCTTTTATTCTTCTAGTCTAAAACTTTCACCTTCGTTCATTATAAACATTTATTTTGTAAACTAAATTCAAGAATTCCGATTCTGAAGGTTAATATTTTATTTAATTTGCAAATTAAATAAAATTGATTAACCTTCAGAATCGGAATTCTTGAAGTTTAGTTTACAAATTAAAATTCTTTTATCGAGAGATTTGGACTTTGAACTGTTATAAAAGTTTACTTTGAACTTTACATTAAATTAAGTGGTCGTTCAGACTAATCAAATTTTAGAAACATTTCATCATAAAAAGCAAAGTTATTTGACGAGTGAAAAACAAGTTCAGAAAAGCCCCGCGCCGCAGAAACACCAGCAAAATTTTGTCTTTCTGGACCATCTATATTATGAGGGATTTGAACTTGCATCAATCTTACTTTTTCATTTTGTTTTTAGCTTTTAAGTAGGGTATTTACCACTGAATATGAGCATTTATGTAAAAAAATTGAAAAACATCGATCGGAAAACTTTATAGTCATTTTTCAGTTCCCGCGAAGCCCACGCGAAATACACGCGTGTTTTATGCCTACAAGATATCACTCTATTGGTCGCCACATCTTGACTTCACCCAATCACAGGACAGTTTACATGGAGTTATCGTTGCAGTATCTATAGAGTGGTTCTGACTCACCACAGCACGTATTTTGATAATTAATTTTTCATTTCAAATTTAGTTTTTAGTCAATTTCCCAGCAGGGTGGATGCTATTGTGCATGTTAAATTAGGAACAAATAAATGTCAGTGATGTTATACACATATTAACTTATAGTCAGGAATTTGCATTTCCAACGAAAACAATTTATATTTTTAATTAGTTTTTCAGCGGGGTGCCATGTATTGCTCGATGAATTCATTCACGTTTTTGTGCAAGTGCATGGGCACTCTAATTTAGATCGCTCCCAAAGTGTTACACGCGTGAAAATCTCCCAGCTTGTCAACAGGATGTGTTCGCACCGCTTGTTCCCAGTTGTTGACAAGTCTGGAACAAGTTGTTATCATCTTGTAACAAGGTTGATGAGGCCAACAGACTCGCAACAAGTTGTTCCAAAACTGAGTTCCATATCGTCTGCACGTAACTAGTTGTTACCAAGTCAGTGATGGACTATATCATGAAGCTCGTAGCAACTTGTTACGAACAGCCTTGTATTAGTCTTGTTGGAACAACAAGATGGGACTTTTTATCTGCATGATGGTACTGTATCATTGCTAGCCTATATTATAAGCATGCAATTATTTTGGATTTAATCGGATATCATAAATCTAGCGAACAGTCTATAGTCCACAGGGTGTCCCCAAAAAAGCACCAAAACTATTGATCATGAAATAACGTATTGTCAGAATTTGAATACCCTATGGCTAAGCTCAACACGAAGGTGCGTAAAATATTGACAGGATGCACATATTAAATATTGACTTATTAAGAAATTAAAATATCTTTGTAAAGCGCACGATTTTCTGCTCTTGGGAATTTAAAGCAGCTTCCTAAACAGTTTCTTTATGCATAAAATTTACTTATGTCAAACTTTTATGCATTTGTGGGTTCAGCAAAGTGCTGAGGCATTCAAATTCTAACATGTTATTTCAATAGTTTTGGTTTTTTTTCTGGGACTCCCTGTACAGTATATTGAAATTCGTTTCCTATATATATAAAAGATTGCAGGTTATAATGCATAAATCATAATTTTCATGCAACTACATGCATAGCCAATAGGCAATTCCAGCTTTTAGATTATGCGTTCAGGGGATGATGGGAAGTAAGGTATCATATTGCCGATTATGCTGAAAATTTTCAATAAAAACTGCCGAAACAACCGAAATATTTAAATACTTACAAGTATAAGCTATCACTCCGTGTTTACAGGGCCCGACCATTTTTATTTTTTCAGCATAATCAGCAATATGATACCTTACTTCCCATCATTCCCTGCACGCATAAACTAAAAGCTGGAATTGCCAATTAAAGCCCCGTTTGCACTACGCTCAATTTTTGGTACTGCACGGATAAAATTGGTACCCGTACCACTTTTTTGGTTCTTGGACTACCTATTTAGCTAAGCCCCGTTTATACTACGCTCAATATTTGGTATCGTACCACTTTTTGGTTCTTGGACTACCTAGATAAGCAGTTTATTGGACTACCTAAATAGGTAGTCCAAGAACCATCAGTTTCTTATATCCACCGTTCAGTTTTATTACTCAGCATTTTTACGTTTCTGCAGCTGAGAAAACACTACTTTTATTGGCCAAGAAATACAATCAAATAGTTATAAACTATGCATGGCCTTAACAGAGAATGTAAAATTTAATTAATCACACATATAAAATGCAGTCTAATTAAATTTTGCTGTTATTTGAAGATTATCCCTCTTTCGTTCTCATTTGCGGCAAAATTCCGAACTAGATATATGTTTTAACATTGACATATATGTAGATTGTTAACTACTTTATTACCGGTATCTCGACTGGTATTATATTTATAGTTTATGATATTTTCAATTCCATAATTTTCCAATTTGTAATGTCTATATAACCATATTATATATGCAACGACGCTTGCTCAGGCATATGAAACGACTTGACATGCTGTGTCATTATGTTTTTGAAAGTCATTATACTGCATGCATATAATTACATACGATAAACTAATTCACTCACAAAGAACTAGCCAAAAGGCAAAGCATATGAACGGTTCCATATGGCGGAGATCAAGAGATAGCTATTTTGTTTCGAAATTTTGAGAATAATTTAATGTAAGGTTATAATGCAGCCTTAAAAGAAACTGGTGTTCGGGTTTTTAAACGAGGTAAAAGCGGTTCAATGCCGAGAATTTTGATGAATATATTGAACACGTTTGTACTCGTTGGAATTTCTAGCAAGCAAAGTAAGTGTATATATATAGGCTTATAGCTTCAATTAAACAGAATACTGTAAACTTTAATTTACTCGGCTGAACCAGTGTCCCAACGAACTGTCGGTTGAATAGAGTCTGTCAAATACTATATCTTCTTTACTTTAATACTGAAGTTCAGTATAAGCGAAGCGTGTATGATATGTAATGATCAATGACAATGCATGGTAATTATATAGCTTTAAATGGACTGAATTATGAGTATAGTATTCATGCCATAGTTACGAAAGCGATAATGTTATAAGGCCGATTATTTTACACCACACAACTTTTGCCTAAAACTGTCGCGTGCAACCTGCTTACAACTTGAGTTGTATTGTGTAAATCAAGCACACAACTCACCTACGACAATGTGAGCGAGTTGTGACTTGTGTGCTTGATTTATACACAGTACAACTCAAGTTGTAAGCAGGTTGCAAGCGACAGTTTTGTGTAGTGTAAATTTAATCAGCCTTCAAATAGTTTCATTTCATACACATATAGGACTTATAGTTTCATATAGTGACATGTAGTACTGATTCCACTTTTGCTAAGCGTAATATACAGTACTGCACATGGTATAGTCAAATATAGATATACTGCCATATTCATGGCGGAAGGAGGCATGCAAATGGTTCTTAATATTTAATGCATATACATACAGCTTGAAATAAAAGAGATATGAAATTAAAATTTATTGACATCGATAACTTCCAGTGATTTAGTCTATACAGTTTATATATGGTGTTCATGCCTTCAGGAGTCGTCATCTTTAAATGATCTTACTAAAGGTAGCGAGTAAATGATGCTGAGCATTCCATAAATTAAAAAATATTCACGCCGACACCTGTCAGTATATTATTTCGGAAAGCAAACAAACGATGCTAAGCCTATAGGTGCACGCCGGGTTTTGTTTTGAAAATAATTTTAAAAAGTCTAAATTTCTGTAAATTTGAGAGCGATATCTCAAACCGACTGAGACGCTGACTCTTTAGTGGATTCCTCGAATCACTCTGATAAGTCGGCATGTTCGATAGCTGCACTCCGACAACGCATGTTCGATTCTGCCAGAGCCAGAGGGCTTGTGGGTCTAACCATGCATGCAGGTCTACAGTAAACGGTATATTAATGAATGGCAAATTAAATATGGCAAATTCTAGTTATAAACCTCACAGAAACAAAAGTACTTCCTTGCTCATTGCACTGGCATGATGAGTTAGAATTGCTAACGAAACTACTGTATAGAATGTGTATAGCGTGGGTTTTAAAAGTCTTTCAAATTACGTTGCCGGGGAGATACGTTTTCAAACGAAATTATTCATGAAATAATTACATACTCGAGCTCAGCATGGATCAGTTAAATGAATATAACTGGAATGCTTCCTGCAATCGGAACTTGAAGGCTAGTCCCAGTATTTTCACGCATTCGAATATTTTCACGCGGTCAATCCGTCTTCTTGAACACCGAACACCGGCTCAAAATTTACAAAAAAGCTTTTTATTAACAGCTATTAAAAAGCTTTCTATCAATGCATTTATCCAAGTAAAATTTCCTAGTAGACTTTGCTTTTATTTTTTTTATTTTTTTTCTATTTTGTCTAATAATAGCGACATGAATCGCGATGCATAAACACGCGGGCCTTGACCCCCAGATTTGGCTTGAAGAAAAAGAGATAGGCAGTTTATCTCGGAAGGCAGCGTTCCAGATTCAATTCACTGGCATAGGTATAGACAGAGACGAGATATGGCGACAGCTTACTAAATTTTTTTGCCTAAGTCATCTGCAGTTCACGAAATTGAGATTTTTGCCTAAATCAAGTCCTCAAAATACTGATGTATGATAATAGATGCTCTGTATCCCCAATAAGACTTTTGGCTAACAATGATGGATGAAAATTTGGAACAATACCAAATCTGACCCGACATCTTACAACATAAGCCAATATCACTTGTCATTTGTGAATTTCAAAGAAAAATAGAATATTGGTATCGGCCAATATCGATCCTATAATATCGGAATATCGGTAACTATCAAGATTGTATTGGCATCTCACTCGATTGAATAATAGTTGGAGGATTTTGTAAATGGAAATTTTTGAGTGTAAATTTTGAAAATTAAACTCGACAATTTCCATCTACGAACCCCTTCAATTATCGGAATATCGGTGAATTGTGCATATCGGTACATCACCTAACATGAAGTACTCCCACATATGACTAGACTTGCTGCCTCGTATGCGGAGCGACGAAGTCGGGGAGCCTCGTAATTGATTTCCGCAAATTCCTTACTCCTCAAAAAATTACTTCCTTGAAAATTCCTTCGTTCTACCACAGTCGACAGCGCTTCAAATACACTTATACACCAACATTATATATACGATATTACGATATCGATATATGTTAATAAAACTCCAAAATCGGCAAGTCGACTAGCAAAGACCAAAATGAACCAGTGGGATAGAAAATAACAAAAGGACCAGACGTTTTATGCGTTATTTATACTCGAAAGCAAAGTCTACCACACCATAGCAAAATGCGAGGCAAAATGAATGCTCAGGAATGGCAATAGTCTCTGTTCAGGGAATGAACGATTTCAAGCTAATTCAAAATAGGAATCTGACAATGGTACAGTAAATGAATGAACTATACAACTCAATAAACTGGTTGTAAAAATCGTTTTATATGAATGCTATCTGTATATTAGTGATGTTTACATATATAATATTGATATTTGATACGTTGCGCAAGATATATTTACGCGCGCTAATCTTGCGCGTGGAGGGTGGGGGGAAATAAAAAATCATTCGCACAAAGGAAAATAAAAGAAAAAATTCGTGCCTTTGCATTTTTAACTACGTTTTTGAGAAGTTAACGATGCGCTAGAGCATAGTTAACTTTAATCACGTTTTAACTGCAGTTATAACTACATTTTTATACAACCGACGTAACTTAACCACTATTTAACTACAAAATGGATAGTTAAGAAATAGTCACGACTTTTATACGACCGGCCCCAGACATTTGTCAGAGCCAAGCGAAATCGTCAAAGCCGACATACGCCACACAACAGGCAAAACTCTCGCATGCAACCTGCTTACAACTCGAGTTGTACTGCATGTGTAAATCAAGTACACAACTCACCGTGAGTTGTGTACTTGATTTACACAGTACAACTTAAGTTGTAAGCAAGTTGCATGCGACAGTCTTGAGCCTGGCTTCCATATGGTCGTAAAAATCAGAGTCACGATCTTTTTCAACGGCCAGTTTATATATATCTGTAAAGCATAAATAAATCATAAGTATTCTCTAGTTATAATCACTCCGCGTATTTTCAGTTCTAAAATGTTGTATTTCGGCTGATGAGAAAGATCGTGACTCAATCTTTACGACCGTTACGACCATATGGAATCCAGCCGGGCTTTACCACGAGGCAAAAGTTGTGGTCCAGATTGGTCCAGACACACGGGACGCGATTCGCCAACGCGACGCGATTTTTCGATTTTCACCGACCGATAACTTTGATCCTAGTTTAAATTTTCCAAATATTTAGAAGCGCTATAACATTTTCAGTTATTTGGTCTACATATCTTTTAGAATTTGCTCTCATAATCATCGACTGTTTTATTAACTTTCAAAAACTAAAAAATCGCGTCGCGTTCTCGAATCGCATCCGGTGTGTCTGGACCTTAAATCGGCCTTCATATATTATCCACACTGCATGGTTACAACTCAGTAGATCAGCCTGAAATATTAATGGCGTACTCAGTGTTTCGCGATATGTGGAAATAAACTTCAAACACAACAACATAAACTTACTAAAATCAATGACCCACTTCTCTTTCTGTACAGGCAACTCACAATCATGACCTAAAACAAAAATGGAATCGGTTAAGAAATACTTCATAATGTACATAGCATTCCTGGCAAAATCAAGAAAGATCCTGCTAGTTACGCTGGCGGTATCCCTTCTACTAAACCTCGTACTATTTCTGAGAATACCTGTGAATACAAAACCCGATATCGTTCATACGTACTCTGAGGAGACCATTGCCCAGTTGTTTGCAGACAATTTCGAACGTGATGATGTAGTGCCACGCCGTCAGGAACCTGACATTGTACAAAGTCGAACCGATGCCCCGTACGACAACAAAAGAGTCAAACATTTGAGTAAGTCACTTCGAGTTTAGGTACAGTTAGATCCGAAAATATAGCATGGTTTCTTTACGACATTAGCGACAGAACTCGCATGAGCTGGTTTCATTTGGTCATGGCGATTGCAAGCATGTCAAATTGATAGACTGATTTGCATAAGATCGCATACTAGCTTGTCGACACCATTTCGATTGGTCAGAGTAGCTCCCATGGGAAATGTCACCTGTCATATATTATGCTTGCGTTGGTAATAAAATCACAAACTATTTTAAATTCCCATGAGGAGCATAAAATCTTGTGTTTAACAACAATAGCCTGATTTCTAAAGACTGGTTCAATATGCCTGCAGTATGCCTGCGCTATCATTGTTGTTGATGCATACATTCTTTTGTGAAGTCTGTGAATTATTTGGTTGAACAGCTGCTAATGACAATAGTCCGCCAACACACCACATGTATATGTGAATCAGGTTTTAAAGGTCTCTTTTTACTATTTTATAATAATAGTTTTCTGAGCAACTATTTACATACTTACATAGGAGAACGGGACTCATATTTTCCGGGGGGCAGTTGAAAGTTTGCCCGAACTTTTATGGAGAATTGTAATGAAATAACATGATTTTAACATATTTTCTGATAAATCTGCCCGAATTTTCTTGATTTTTCCTAGCATTTGCCCGAATTTCCAGGGTTTTTCAAAATTGGGGGGGGGGCAGTCCCCCCCTGCCCCCTGCCTCGTACGCCTATGCATACTTAAATTATGAGGACAGTTGAATACTTTTATACGCATATTCCAATTCTTGCACCATTTCCACTCAGGAAAAGTTTCCGCAAAAAGAAAATTTTGTAAAATTTGCCAGTGGCCGACACAAATTTTCCGTCGGAAAAAATTTTAACAATGGGCACAATGATGTTTTCCGAACATTTTCTGTCTGTGCAAAATTTTCTTCAGTGGAAATGGTCTTTTATAGTGCAACAGCAATTTATTACGACGAATAACACACCATTTAGAACGCATCATTTTGAATAGAGACTCTGATTTGGCTTATACTAGATCCATTACGCTTTGTTCTTTGCAGGAACAACCGCAAACTCCAAATCCGCCTGCCCTAGAATGACAATCCATAAAGGTGAAGGGCCACCTCTCAATGACACTGTTTGTCGTCCCCACCTCCCCGCAGAGGATGCATGTCAATTCACCGCCGAGATGTTTGAACTGCAACCATCAATCGCTAAGTGCCACGACCAAAAAGGGCCGCCACATCAATTGTGCCGCGTCACCGAGATCCGCAACGGTATCCGACTTTCCGCGCCCGATGTGACATGTGATACATCGGCGTGCCTGAAAACCACGGACATTCGGCTACTGATAGTAGACCCTTCTGATGGCAATTATTTGCAGTTAGATATACCCGGGACAGTAAGCATCTCCGATATGCAAGATGTCGTGAAGCAAGCGATGGCGAAAACTCAAGCGAATGGATTTAATTTCATGTTTATAGATTGCACTGGTCAAAGAAGACGCGAAAAAATTTCCCAATTATTAACATTCTTACCGGCCGAAAGCATTTTTAAACCCAAAGGTGAAGCGCTTGGAAATAAAGTCAATGTGAATGTGGTTCTGTTAGACTCAATTTCCCGGCCGCATTTTTTCCGTTCCTTGCGCAAAACTGTGGCCTATTTGCGCGAAAAGAGCGACGATCCAACGTACAGCGCTCACATATTTGATTTCGAGCTGTTCCAATCGGTGCACGGGCACACGCACGAAAACGAACACGCGTTATTTGGCGGCGCGTTGTATCCGGAAAATTTCACGAAGAGCGCCAAGGAAGACTCCCCCACGAATATGGAGCGACTATTTGGGATATTTAAGGATGCAGGGTATCAAACGATGGCACAGAATGATCTGTGTTGGAAGGCATGGTATGGTTTCTTGACCAGTTTTATGGTCGATGAGTGGCCTGACCTTCAGAGGCTCATGAAAGAGACGATTGACTCGACTGGTAAGGGTTTTAAGTAGATTTTTAAAATTTATTTAATTTAATTTAATTTAATAACTTTGCCGTAACATAAATTACAAATTCTGGCAGGGTTCCCACAACAGCATAACGCCAATTACTGCGGGCCCAGTAATAATATCTAACAAACGATGACAAATTAACAGTTAGACAACTAAACAAGTATGCATGCAAACCAACAAACGTACGTTCTATAACGCACTACAAAAAATTAATGTATTAATAACAGCAAGACGCTGGATATGCAAGACTACGCACAGAGTTGCATTTAAGACATATAGTTTTAAGTGTTCGAGGTTGTTGGATGATGATCGTGTCGTTCTGTGTGTTACACGGGTGACGGGAAGAGCAGACGTTTCTACGAGGCCATGGGTGATTTTAAAGAAGAGGGTCAAGTCTAGATATTCGTGCCAGTATGATACAGGAAAAAGATGAAGGGAAATTAATCTTGTCCTATAGTCCACGTCTGTCGAAAATGGCAAATTTAAAATGAGTTTTCTTTGAGTTCTTTCCAACATGTTGATGAGATCAATCGCCTGTGGTGCCCAAAGATGAGATCATTTTATTAAGTGGAGAATCTTTTGTATGTTACGTAACACGGGCTCAGAATTAATGAATATACTTTTGGTTATGGTTTGGTTACTAATGGTTATGACTATATTCAATATTTTATATTCGTTACATCAATATTCGTTTCTCAAGCGGCACTGCGGCAAACAAACTTAAAAGGTCTGGTTAGTGTTTTATCTGTATGCTAAAATGAAGAGATTTTAGATGGTACGCCAAAGAGAAAATGATGTCTGAAGTTCAGTAAGTTTTGCTTATATTGCTGCATAGACATGGCGTCAAATTACAGCATCAATGAACTGTAATATTCACTTTGTTTTATATTTTAGTTGTAATTACGTCACTTGATTTCACTTCGTATCATCGTATCACTGAAAAATATACCTTGCCCAGTCTTAATAAATAACGCGCATTTAAAATAATTACGTCACTTAATTTCACTTCGTATCATCGTGCTTTCATATCACTGAAAAATATACCTTGCCCAGTCTTATTAAATAACGCGCATTTATAATAATCAAACGAGATGCCCAATGCACCATTCCGGAAAGTACGACTAATATTATACCTCAAATTCAATGACAAAGTGCCAAATCAGAAAGCAAAACAACTTGTTGCATCCAGACGATATCTGTTGGCCTCATCAACCTTGTTACAAGATGATATCAACTTGTTCCATCAATGATAAATGTCACATACACGAAAGCGAGGCTCTGCGGCCAAAGTGACGTACTTTTCCGAAAGTGTGTATTCTCAGAAGTTAAAAACTTTCTCTCCATGCCATCTAGGTGTAACAGACGCCTCGTGTAAAATCCTGAAGCGTTCTCAAAGGACAACAACATTCACAGACAATGATGACCACCAGATATGCTACAACGGCAAACACCAACATAGATATTTATTTGACCATCTTAGAAACTACCTAGAAGCTGTCACCACCCTCAAACCTGCGAAACCATTATTCTCTTTCACAGAGACCAATGTTGCACACGATGACGTAGGTATGTATATCATACCACATTATACCATATCACACAATACCATACCATACCCCTAACCATACGAAAACACATCACACCATACCGTTTTTGTTGTTAGTAACACACATGGCTTCTAGGCACACCACACCATATGTATCATACTATATTTTACCATATCATATAATACCATACCATAACATAACATACGTTACCATACCATACCATACCATACCATACCATACCATACCATACCATACCATACCATACTTTACCTCATCTTATCTATCTTGTAGGTATTCGAGTACAAACTCTAGACCAAGACCTGACAGACCTAATAGATAGCGTCGCCCAACTCCCGAATACATTCACGATATTCTTTGCCGACCATGGAAACACATACACAGACTATCAAGTTTCGATGCTCGAGGGTCGATTGGAAATTTACCATCCTGTACTATTGGGAATATTACCCAAGGAACTTGGAAGGAAGTTTGGAAAAGATGTAGTGGAAAATCTGAGGACTAATCAGTACCGTTTGCTTCATTTGTTTGATATCCGTGAGAGCTTGGTAGAGCTCGCCAACTATGATATCAGAACAAAGTAAGTGGCTAGTTATCCTTACTTGCAAAGGACGCAGCTCAACCTGATCCAGTCGAAGGCTTTCAAAGGGCGCCTCTAGCAGTCACTTTATGACCCATGTCTCAGGGTTCGTAGTCTCCAAGATCAAAAAATTTCAAAGACTTTCAAAGATTTTTTCTGCCTATTGTCAAAGACTTTTCAAAGACCTTTGAGGGCAATCAGGTGTCGCAAAATTGCGACGTATAAGCACCATTTTTACCAGGTAATTAGTCCCGTCAAATCACATCCTAAAATGTACTTTTTCGTCGATATTTGCGAAAATCTTGCTTCAGTCAATCTATTTTATTAGCTAGGAAATCGTATAATCAAATAATCACTAAAGAATTTAAAGACTTTTAAAGACTTTCTTCGCTTTTTCACACACTTCAAAGACTTTTCAAAGACCTTAAAGACCTGCATTCAAATGTAAAGACTTTCAAGGATTTCAAAGACCGCTACGAACCCTGTGTCTGATCACGGTGCACAGCTACAGTGGAAGGGTTAGTTCGGGGCTAGTCCCAACCCACCCTGTCAACTTTCTCTGTGCGAGGAAACCGGAGCACCCGGAGAAAACCCACGACTTTCGGTAGAGCATTGACTGACTTATCTCAAACTCATTAATAATTCATGAGTAAATTAGCCAACCATATTGCTTTATTTTGCTCACATGATAATACTGGATACTTGGTGAAGTATATTGACCCACTCCTAGGACTGGGTCAAAATCAATTCACCTCACTTATGTAGTAATTTATTCGTATGAGATGTCATTTCGAATCCTCCAATTCGGACTGGACTAGATCTGTCCACGCATTTTGATCCAGTTCTCGCGGCTTCGCATCGGGCTCGATCAATTTGCGCGGTCTTGAAATCTAGTCCAATCCTCATAGTCGGATTTGAAATATCACTTCACATGAGCCCACAGTGAAAATCGAAGGTGAAAGGCTCTGACCATCATTGCGCTACCGAAACCCCTAGGTATTGGCTTCTTCAGAATTAATGAGAAAACTTCAAATAACCTACTAATTTTATTTATACTAGAATGTTAGGGTTTGTAATCCAAGTGAGAATATATACATTTTAAGACCTAACCAGGAACGACTGCGAAAAATGATAGCTCTGTCTTTCTATACATGGTGTGTAAAAAAGTGCTCGATTCACACAGTACAATAGCAGGTTGCGTCAGCGACACTTTTAGGCAAAACTTGTGTAGTGTGAATCGGCCTTTAGTCAGTGCTTTATTAAACTAGAAAGTATATTCTCTTAATTGCACCTTTCTTTATTCTGCTTCACACAGAAGAAAAGATATGATGGTACAAAAATTATTTAATGGACAGTTTCATTGTGGCATAGCATATCGAAGGGAAGATGGCTGTGAAAGTCATTAGAATAACAATATAACTCATTATCTATGTTAGTCAATGTTTATTCATAAATCTGGTCCTTCACCGTCACGTGTGTATTGTATTTTTGCCAAATGCTTGAACAGTTCAATACTTTGACATGCATATATTTAATGCTTCCAAGTCACAGCTACACACGTAAAAACGCACAAGCTGTTACAGGTCTGCAAACAAGTTGTTACCAATCTGTTCACAATCTGTCGACAAGTTCCTAGTTGTTGTAACAAGTTTGGAACAAGCTGTTAACAACTTGTAACAAGCTTGATGGCATTATCGAACTTGTTACAAGACTGTTCTGACAAGTCTGATACAGTCATGACATAACAAGAATGTTACACGGTTGACGACACAATGTTGTAACAATATTGTTATATGATGACTATGTCGGACTTGTTGGAACAATCTTACAACAAGTCTGATAACATCAACAAGGTTCTTACAAGTTATTAACAGCTTGTTCCAAACTTGTTGACAACTTGGGACAAGCAGTGCGAATACAACTGGTTGACGACTTGTTGGCAGACTATTGTAGAATGTATCAACAACACAAATTGACATCTACATTTTTATTACATCTATTCACACAGGTTGAATCCAGTCGGAATTTTCCGAGAAATACCGAAGAATCGCACATGTGATAACCTAAAATTAAGCAGTCCAAATTTCTGTATTTGCGAAGGATGGGACATTCTGGTTGACAATTCCACTGCGCGAGTGGCCTTGGCCGAGTTTGCTATTGGTCAACTCAACAACCAATTGCAAAGCTCCCTCCTAGAGTCACGTGGTTCTGAGCCCGCAGGCGAGAATCCCATATTGTTTGGTTCATGCCAGCGGTTACGATTACACAGTATTAAAAACGCGAGGCAACGTCAAACAGCCAAGGGAACGGTGATAACAACACTTGATGTGAAGGTACAATCGGGGACTATTGTTGATCAAGAGGAACTGATTACGGTGCAAGTTGAATCAGCGCAGAAAGCTAATAGGTCATCGTTTGATATGAGGTATGGATGTGAGTCACAATTAGCGCATGTGCATATAATTCCGTCGGTTATTCTTACAACTTGTCAACAAGATGTGTTCGCAAAAGGCTTGTCAACAAGTTGCAATTAACAATGGTGTTATTTTATCGAATTGCTCACAACTTGTTGACAAGTCATTGAATTGCAGGACGATAACAATTTGTTGGAATAACTTGTAACAAGTCTGTCGAGTTCAACAACCTTGTAGCAAGTTGTCAACAAGCCGTTGACAACTTGTCAACAAGCTGGGAACAAGCAGTACGAACACATCCTGTTGACAAGTTGTTGCAACAGTATTGCTACAAGTCTGCTGCAGGTTTGTTACAACTTGTGCGTTTTTATGTATGTAATACACACGCAAAAATCTGTCAACAAGCCGTCAACAAGTTGTGTTCGCACTGCTTGTCCCAAATCCTATACAAGTTGACTTTGAAGAATATATTTTGAGGTGTGGCTTAGGCGAGTACGACCGTGACTGACAAACGATAGAAAGTTATTGATATCTACGTTCAAATAGCCGAATAAAGCTTTGTATAGAAACACAAAGTCTTTAATCAGGGACGTTGCTACCGGGGGGAAGTGTGGGGGGTGTAACACCCTCCAATAATTCAAACGTTGGTCAAAATGGACTGGTATTTGCTCAAAGTTGATCAAAATGGAACTGATATTTGCTTAAAATTTAAGGTCAAAGTCGATAAATTGTGGTGAAAAATTGGCACGCCTTGCTTATTTTGGTCGAAAATTTGTTAAATATGCTTATATTAGTCTATGCTTATAGTAGTCCTCCCGTCGACAACATTTCCGAGAAAAATTTTTGATTTGGTCAAAATTCTATTAAATGTTGATCAAAACATGACGACCCCAATGTTGATGCCTTAGCGACGTCCCTGTCTTTAATTTCCTTGTCAAAATGTCAACGGCTAACAACCGCTCTTTATAAGTCAACTCTTCTCTTATCACCATGATGAGGCTAACGTGTTAAAATAAAGTCTATGTATGTATGTGTGTATGTATGTATGTATGCATGTATGCATGCATGTATCACTAACATAAAACATTTCTTTCCCTAGACTATTGACTTATAATAGAATCTCTCATTACTCAATCTATGAACAATGCGTCGACAAAGGGCTACCAGCAAACCTTTGCATTTGCAACAAACGTGAAACATCAGCGAAAGCTCAAAACTCATCAGTCTATGATATAATCAGTCCAGAATCGAAACTCCACAGACTTAAACCATGTTTGCTGCTTATAAAACGTTCATACAGCGAAAATAATGGCGAAGAAGATTATGTCGGAGTAGAGGTTTATGAATTGGCAAATATTTGTGACGATAAGAAATTTTCTGTGAGGCTGGCGGCAGAAGCTGATAACGTACGTGCTTCCACTGAATTGCCTATTAACGTGGAGTTGACACCAAGGACTATATATTTCACCTCCGTTATGATGACTGAAGTTGGATTTATGGACACGAAATTGAAGTTGAAGTTACGTGTAGTCAGTGAGGACGTGCATGGGAAAGATGAAGAATTGGAAGAAAATGGTGGAAAGAGAAGTGGAAGAGAAGAGGGGAATAAGAAGGGAAATTTAGGCGCGAAATGGAAAAAAAAGAAGTCAAGGACGAATGGGAAAGATGAAACATGGAAAGAAACTAGTGATAAGAAATAATAAATTATTTTGGAATTTCATGAATCGGTCATTATTTATGGCGGTGGCACCGAAGAGAAAAGGGTTGGGTATAAAACAAAAAGTGAGTAAAAGGTTGGGTAAATGAAAAACAAAACAACTCAAGGGTTGGGTAATAAAAATTTATTGTCATTTCCAAAGCATGACTCACTCAAATATTCAAGGCTAAATAGCAATGTCAACAGTCATATGTCACTACAATACATAAAACAATCAATCAGAGTCACTATCTTGATCATTTTCCGATTTGTCAGGAGGCAAATGGTGTCTCCAAAGAAAGTACATGTGCAGACAACATCAAACTTTAGACTGCAGGAAAGATCACAAGCAGTTATCAAACTCATGCCACAGAAGTGGTAAAGCCGTAAAGGACATATGTGACAACTGAATGGTATCCTTTTGTAAAGTCTTTGGCCAGGGGTGGGTATTTATTTTTTAATTGATATTTGAGGTTGGATAATTTTTTTTTACTTTAATGGTTGGATCAGCGACATTATGCAAGATAACGTATTCAGATGAATAAAATAATATATTTAAAATAACGTATTTAGATGAATAAGTTGGCAAATAGTTCATCACTTCACATTTATTATTCGTAAACAAACAACGAATATTTAATTTCACATAAATTATCGTCTCAAAACACCCAGAAATTCTGGGTGTCACGTGACCAGCCGATCCCAGGGCCATTTTCTCGGACCTTCAGCCGTGAAGGCAAAATACCCTGGGGACGAGGTTGCGCTTTTTAAAGTGCCTATGACACGAAATTTCACCCCAAATGTTTATGATTGCATTGTAAAGATCACTTACAATTACTTAATAATTTCTTTTATAGAATTTTGGTAACTTGCTATTTTTTCAAGATATTTAACTTTGTTCCATATGCAAATATCACCGGTGTGAGATCACATCGCATAATGACATTTTGAAAACGCAATATTTTACCTTGATAAAATATTTTTACAAACAAATACAGAGGGTTAATTACCAGTTATGAAATTAATACATATACAAGGGCAATTTTTAAGTTTTTTAGATACGTATTCGTCAAGAAAAGTATACTTTTCTGAAAACTCATTATGTGATGTGACGTCACACTGGTGATATTTGCATATGAAACAAAGTCGAATATCTTAAAAAGGGAGCAAGTTACCAAAATTGTATAAAAGAAATTATTAAGTCATTTTAAGTGATCTTTACAATGCAACCATAAACCTTTGGGGTTAAATTCGTGTCATAGGCACTTTTAAACATTCGTAACATTGTTTTTGAACTTGGAAATGTAAAAATTCATGCAATAGACCCTTCCCCCAAGGAACAATTTGTCCCAAGGAACAATTTTGAGCGACAATGGACAACTTGCATGTTAGACTAAATTTTAATCTAAGTAAAGAGAATTAAGGGAATCAAACACCACAGCTAAAAAGAACTTAGTTATTACAATTAGTAAAATTGCAAAATTTGGTTGCGAAATGATATAAAGCTTGGAAAATAGTATAGTCTTGCAAAGTTTGCCGCAAATTTTGTATATGTTTGTATTACGCGTGGAAATTGTTACCATTTTCGGCTCAAAAATGGTAACAATTTCCGCACGTAATACAAACATATACAACCTTCGCAAGGCTATATTTTCCGTATTTTACAACATTTCGTAACCAAATTTTGCAATTTTACTAATTTTGATAAGTTCTTTACGGGAATTTAGATAGATAAAAAATTAGTCTAACATGCAAGTTGTCTATTCGCAATGAAAATTATGTTTTTATGAAATGTATTGGCTCACCAACGACTTGCATTGTCCAGTGGGACATCGCATTATGACGTCTTATAAGAAATGACTATTCAAACGAATTCTGTTTACAACAGATGCATTTTAATTTATTCAATTCTTTTCATCACTGTATAATCCCACTGTTATTGAAAACAAAGTCAAAAAGATGTCTTGGAAGTTAATTGCGCAATTAAGGACACTTCAATTGAGTAGTTAAAAAAAGTGTTATTAAGCAGAATATTTTCATTCACAGCGTACGGGGGGCTCTCCACGAAATGTAATTATATAGGGACACTATCAGCTAACGGATAGTGCCCGGAGCCACAGAGAGGATAGTGCCGCAGAGGGCAGGGGAAATTGCCCCGAGGTGCTGGGGGCCCCTGGAAAATTTTTGTTGGGCCCCAGTCGTTTTTGTGTTAAATATTTCCGCGCAAAGGACAAGATCTCTGTTTTTTTGGGCTAACTACCGAAATTTGGCATAAAAAATGAGATAAAGTCCCTGGAAAGCAATTGCAACGTACTCATCCGGAAAATATTTTTACCTAAAAAGTTGTCGTTGTATTTTTTAGATAGGGGCCCCTGAAAACAAATTTACCCGGGCCCCGCCAACCTCTCGGCGGCCCTGCCGGGGCGACACAATTTGCGCGCGGGGAGGGATCCACTAGGACACCCGGCCCAAAATGTTCATGTCATGTGCATTCGTATACGTGGCAATTGGACTGCACGTTCAAGTTGCTCCAAATTTCGAAAAAAGTTGTTCGAAAAATCATAAAAAGTTGCTCGAAAAATGCTCAGTTTTTTCTAAAGGTTGCTAGTTTACAAAGAGAGTTGCCCAAGCTAGGTTGCTAGCTCAGTTGATTTTCAATTCGTGGTGTTTGCAATGTGGGATCATGTGTTTTTAAATTCTTACATCATCGCTTCAACTAGTGCCGGACAAATATTAAACTTTTAGAACATCAACAACTCCGGGGGAAAATATCCCAGTGGTTCTCAGGGGGCTTCTCAGTCAGGCTCCTGCTGATGTATTACATGTCGTATAAATTACGCGATATGAGAACTCTTTCAAGTTGTATTTGTTCAATTTTTTCAATACTGAGCTTAATTAAACTATAGTAAAACGACAAAAATATACAATCTTTAACATTCAAATTCGCACTCGGATTTCCGTTTCCAAAAGCCTACATATCGAGTGTATATGCCCAAATTCCCGATATTTAATCATCTGCGAATCATTCCCGATATTTAATCATCTACATTTGCACACATGTTCAATATATTGTTGGCTCACGTAACAATGCACCGACCAGTACACGTTTCACAGCCACCTGCGAATATAATATCTCGATCAAGTGTTTCAAAAGAATACAAATGAGGGGTGCACTTCAACTCTTGCTTGAGTTTCAGAGCATTTATATGTGAATATTTCGTAGACATGTTAAAGTATGCTTCAAAATAAGGTTTCCGTTTTTATAACGTAGAAAAAACTACCCCAACGCAAAACTAAACCCTAACCCTAATACTAACCCTAACCTAACCCTAACAGTTAGATAGTTAGATAGTATACTTCAAAATAAGGTTTCCGTCTTTATATCAATTTTTAAAATTAGCTAACTAATTTTAAAACTGATTGATATAAAGACGAAAACCTTATTTTGAAGTATACTATCTAGCAATTGCCAAGACGGGACATGTAAAAATTAAAAAAATAAAGTTCATCATACATTCATAATCAAAAACTCGGCATTACATTATTGGCAACATAAACGCAATTGCATATTTAGCGAATTTGCCTCGAAATTTGCGTTCATGTTTTAAATAAACTACACGGCCTTGTCATGTCTGTTTAGATCTGACAATGTTTTTCTTGTTGCTTTGTATTTAGTATTTTGTGCAGGTCAAAATCGGCAAAAAAATCCATCCCGATATAAGATATAAAGCCTTTATATCTTAATCTTATATCTCATACAGGCACATACGAACTTGCCATAATATTGCAAAAGGAAAGTAATTAAGTGTAAATTATATGTGAAAACGATGTGATGAAAAAATTATGTAGAGCAGTCGATCTGTGGCAACACGGGTGGCAAGTCTGTGATAAACACTGCGCCACCTCGAAAATCGATTAACGCCATATACAGGGTGTCCCAAAACCCCCCGAAAACTATTGAAATCACTTATTGTTAAAATTTGAATGCCCTATACCAAAAAGCTGAACGTAATGATGCATAAAATATTGACAAGGGGCATGTGTTAAAATTTAGTTAAGAACATCTCCTTGTAAAGTGCGGAATTTCTGCTCTTGGGAATTTAAAGCAGCTTCTCTTAAATAGTCAGTTGTTTATACATAAAATTTACTTATGTAATCATTTATGCACTCGTGGGAATCAACAGACTGCTAAGGCCCGTTTCATACGCCGTACTTCACATGTACCGAATACATTAAAAACAATAGATGAGGCATTTCAGCTCATTACCTATATTGTCTTATTACCATTTCAGCTCATTACCTATATTCGGCACATGTGAAGTACGGCGTATGAAACGGGCCTAAGGCATTCAAATTCTAACAATTAAATTGTTATTAGTGATTTCAATAGTTTTCGGGTTTTTTTTGGCCACCCTGTATTGCTGTCAAAAATTCCCTGTAAATCTCATGTGAATTGACATGGTGAGGACGTGGCATAGAGGCAATTAAAATATATAGAAATTTGATTCCTATGGGACATTGCAGGGGAGGCCAGACCTAATCACAATATATGCAAATCAAAATAACACTTGCAACAGGACGTGAATTGACTATTTGAGTTGACTTGGCAATAAGTTTGTTGCGCATCGACGTTAAAGAACTTCCTCTTCACATGAAGACACAAAATCTGGTAAGTGAATAGTTGTTTGTAAATTTTTAATTTCTATTATGTCTGTTTGGTATTCTGTAAAGGGTCCGTGTATTTATAGGGCCAGTGCGTGTAGCCACTGTGGTATATTTCAAATATTTTCTACTACAAATAAACTTCAAAAACTGTATGACTTGTAACTGTATATATATAGCGTGGAGCCTGAGGCTTCAAAAGATAACTATGAGCTTAGATTTGAGTAGAAGTCTATGGGAAAATAGAAGAATGATTCTATACATCGAAACAGGTGTATGACGGGATTATATAAAATAAAAATACGATTAAATTGCATTTCAAAGTTCAACTATATTACCTGT